GGGACCCCGGTGCCCCCGCCGCGGCGCGGCCATCCCGCCCCGTCGGGCCCTTTGCGGGCGCCGCCGGGTCCCCCCGCACCCCTGTCCCGGGCGGGCTGCCGGGAGCGCCGCGCACACGTGAACCGCGAGCCCGGGGCTCCCCGCGGGGCTCCCCGCGGCGCGGGGGGGGCCGCCACAGCGGGGCCCTCCCTCACCTGCGCGCCCAGGTGCGCCGGCCGCAAGCAGCGCCCGGCGCCCCCGCTCTGCTCCGCCTGCCCCTCCGGGCTGCAGCCCCTCTGCCTGCAGCCCCACTCCCTGCAGCCCCTCGCGCTGCAGCCCCTCATCCTTCAGCCCGTGTCTCTTCAGCCCCTCGCGCTGCAGCCCCTCTCCCTGCAGCCCCTCTCSCTGCAGCCCCTCTCGCTGCGCCTGAGTCGTTGCGGCTCAAATGTGACAGGCTCGAGGGTCGCAGCCTGGCTTCGTCTTACGAAACGTGCTCGCAGTGGAATTAGCCGTAGTCACCCAACGAGGCAGCCAAGCAGTCTAACTAAATGAGAATAACGTATTTATTGATCGCTGACCAAGAGGTGCCCGCTGCAGAAGTGAGTTTGGGGCTTCGCCCTTCCACCCCGCGCTACCTTCCTCCTCCTCCCTAATCACACACACACTCAAAAAAAAAAAAAAAAAAAAAAAAGGAAAAAAAGAAAAAAAAATTACGCCCCTGCAATTCACGTCTCAATTCTTGTGTCCATGTGCGAAAGATAAAATGAATTTCAATTGCTATTGGAAAAAATCAGGAATTGTATGAGATTTGCAAGAGCTAGTTTCTTAAACGGAAATTGAGTCCTATTTTGTGGGAAATTAGTTTTGCAGACTTTCTGAAAAAAAATCTAAAACTTTTGTTCAGCAGCTGCTCCACTTTTCCCTGCAGTTTCAGGCTGAGCTGGAACCTGCAGCAGTCTTTCGACGGTAAGACTTTCCCCCCTTTTCTGAGATCTAATACTTTTTAAAAAATTTTGTCTTTAGTTTTAGCTGTAACAACGYGGTCTTTAAAAAGGGAGCGTGGCGTCCAAAGCAGGAGTTGCCGCCTCTGTGCACCGTGCAAAACTTGATATTTCTTCAGAATAAAGGAAATATACAGTTACAACACTGATGAAATATTTTGTGCTTTTCATTGTGTTTATCGTTTCAATATGTGCTCTAATATTAAAAAAAAAAAAAAAAAAAAAAAAAAAAAAAAAAAAAGGAGGAGTACAAAGCCAGCGCCCCGGCTGAGCCGCTCCCGGGTCGGTGAAGCGGCCGCGCCGTGAGCGCGGGATGTCCCTGCGAGGTGGCGGGTGTCACCCGGCCCGCCAGGGCCGCCCGAGCCGCGGGACGTGGCCCCGGTGTCGCCGTCGGGGCGGCCCGAGGCGCCGCCGGCCCCGGCTCCCGCCTCCGGCTCCCGCTCCGGGYCCCCCCCGGGCCTCTTCCCAACCTGCTGCCGTCGGGGCGGCCCGGCCGGGGCAGGAGGAGCAGCCCCGCTGCAGCCAGGGCCGCGCAGCACCCGCGTAGAAACCCGCGGGTCGCGAAGAAAACACCCACTTTATTTCCTTTCTTCCTTTTTCTTTTTTTCTTTACCTTTTAAAATTTATTTTATACATTTTATACATATAAAAATTTTAATTCTAGGAGATGGCTGCTCAGGATTTCTTGACAATAAAAAAAAGCGAAATAAGTGAAGTACAATGAAGAAAGCGAGAGGGTGCGAGGGGAGGGAGAACGATTAGGTTTCCCTGAGAAATAAGAGATGCAGCCAAATAGCCCTTTTTGCTAGGCAGAAATAGAAAGGGCTCCAAAAGGTGAGGAAGAAGGAGAAGAAGAAGAGAAAAAAATAGCACAGTGACAGAGGAATCGTGTCAGAGCTAAGCGTGTATCATTAGCTCCATAATCAAATCTGAATATTCAGGGCTGCATCTCCTTTAGATCTTAATTCCCTTAATAAGGACGCAAGTCCCACATCAAGTGTTCTCTTTTCTTCTTTAATAAGACTTTTTAAACACACAAGATCTGGAAGTACAAACTTCTGCAGAGCCTTATGCTTTCATTTTAAGCAATATAAGGAGAATGAAAATATAGGCAATTAATGTTGACATGAATAAACAACATCAAACGTTTACTGAAATAACCCCCAAAGTTTCTGAATGGAATTATCAAATAGCGATATAATATACCACCTTTGCAAAAAATTGCATCTTTTCCATCAAAGAAAATTCCACTGCAAAGCTTTTCGCTGAAATATTTCCTTCAGAAAGTGTAAAGTTATTACCTCTCGATATTACTGATTGGGTTCTTGTTTGTGCTGTATCTTTTTAAGAATGTGTGTTTGACCTACACGTGGTACGAAAGTGCAGTTTAAATCAATGCCAGCAAGTTTGCCCAAAGCTTACAACATCAAGTGAAAAAAAATAGGATGTCTTAAATATATGAAAACAATAAACTGTTTAAGTGATAAAAACATCTGGAGCCAACGCAGTTTGGAACATCATTTATGATTTCATATGCAGGCTAATATTTGTATTTCCTTTCTTTTTTTTTTTTTTTTTAATTTACTATTTATGGTAAAAGATCCTATAAAAATTGACCCGAATGAATCAGCGTTGCTTTTCCTCCGCTGCAGGACTTTTGTGGTCTTGCTCAGCCTTTCGCACTGGAGGCTAAATGCACCATCTTCCTGAATGTTTAGCTGAGTATAAATAAGTTTCTTGCACACCTCTTGCTAGTGTGCAGCTTGCCAATATGTGCATACTATAAAAAAAAATGGGACAGATAGTCACACTTGTGGACCAGTTTTTCAGTTTTATAAACTGCCATGGCTTTGCAGAAGTCAGCATGAAGATGACATTTTTCGCCATTTGAGAATATGCTCCTTACTGTCAAAGAGAAAGCGTACAAATGTGAATTCAGTTTATTTTAGCCAAAGATCTTATTGTACTCAAGAGCCTACCAAAGGAAGAGGACGAGATTTTATTGTACTGTAATTATGATCAGTTCGTATTTTTCCATGGCAGTTTGGTGAAGGCAGGCATCATTATTTACCCTTACAGTCAATCCAGACTCACAACAGATGTATGTTTATTTTCAGTCTTTTTTTTTCCTCCCCCTAAATTTTCCCTGTTTAACTCCCATAGTAGCAATATAATTCATTTCTCTTGATACCTGTGCTGCAATGAAAGCCACAAGCAGCTCTAAAGCCAGGGGATTAGGCATCATTTCAGAGATGCTTGGATGCCTTAACTGAAAAGCCTTATGCAGAAAATGAATAATTTGTTGACTCACTCGTCAGAAAGACTGAATTCCTGCATAGTTAAAAATGGTCATAATTGCATTTCCCATTCGTAAACYTACTATGCAATATCTTAACTATCCTTCATCATAAAAACAGTTTTTGGGCAAAATTACACCACCACAAAGCACACCACATATCCTTAACATTGCATTTCTGTGGTGTACTGCCATTTCACTCTTTTTAGCATTTACATATGCCATGGTTTAATACGCATCAGACACAATTTTCGGTTTAAAGACTACACCGTATCTATAAAAGCTGAATCCATATTTTCAGTTACTTCTCCTGTATCCATATGGATTGTGTTCTAATTTTCACGATCTCCAAGTATTACAAATTTTAAAGCTATGCCAGCAATTTAGTGTATTACATAAAAGCTGTGCTAAACTATGAGGCCCTCACTGAAAATGATTTGCAAGTTTGCATTACATCATTAAAAGTTTTTTGAATTGCCAAATCACTCTAACCAGTCAAATATTCCTATTTAATTTAAATAAATGCTTCCCATTTAATTTAAATAAAAGAGATGAAATATTAAAATAGTTAATGTACTTGAGGCTTCACACCTGAACTGTGATGTTTCAAAAAGCTTTTATAGAGTTTAAATTATGGGAAACTTGCATTCCACATTAGACACTGAGAAGACTCAAAAGAAGGTCCCCTAAAACCTTTGACATGTGTTTATTTTAAATAGATGATTTATTTGCAAACAGAAGTGTCTCACACAATACTATTTATTTCCCAATCTGCATGAAACTGCATTTGCCAATTGTTTCATTCTCCAGTACTATCTCCTCTTAGGAACTCTGAGCAGAGAAACAGAGATCATAAGCCTTGAGAGTAGTTTGGTAATATTTATCTTGTCTTATTTATCTTATCTTTATCTTATCCATGATGCCTGAAAAATATATTTTCCACTTTGTTTTCTCCCAGTCTTGATAGTCAGATCCCGCATACAATTAGTTCTTTTATTAAAATTGCTAATGATAAAGTAAAAAATAAAGACATGCATTTGCGCTTATTATTCAATTTATTATTTGATGCAATTTGCTCTCTGGATT